ATTTTATTGTTATTCTTTTAGGGGCCGTCCATAAATTACGTAACACGTTTTTAGTGAAATTTTGAACCCCCCCTCCTCCTATGTAACAAGTTGTAACAAAATCGTTTTACCACCCCCCCCCCTATCATTGTTACGTAATTTTTTAAAATATTTTTTTACTAACGTTTTTCGAAACAAATTTGTTTATTACTGTTATTTTTAGTATTTATATCCTACAATAGCAATTCAAAATTAAGTTACATATAAAAAACATTTAGAGGAATAATTTTATTAATCATACTGTGCAACCAAAAATATAACATTGATTTTTTAACAATAATTTTATATTATTTATGATCAATAATACTGTTATAGCTTTAAATATATAGATTTCTTCTCTTAAATTAATAATATATGTAATTCTTTATCACAGCGAACAATTAGAATTATATTAATAATTGTTTTTAAATATGATGTTATAGTTTGAATTAAAATCATAATAATACTGGCAATGATTTAACTTTAAAGCTATAATCTCCTCTCTTAAATTAATAACGCATGTTGTCTTCAATTGTATAATCACAATCTTCGATAAATGGGTTTTGCAACCAATTTTCAAATGAGGTAACAACTGGAATAAGTAATTCTTTGTTTGTTTGTGACGACTCGGTTTCATTATTTATGAATTGTTCATCGATATCTTCGATGTCAATCCATTCTGCTTCTTCGCCCGAAATATGTGTTACATAACAAAGTGCTTCACGAGCACGTCGAGCAACTACACGTAGTGGTCGTATTCTAGAAGTTTCAAGTACTCCGTAAGGGTGCAAAGATTTTTTGTGTTTTTGAGCACTTTTCTTTGTAGCTGTGTAAAATCCACAATATTTACACGTTCTATTGAGAAGATCAGATTGCACAGAAGGACAATACATATCGTACGGCATAATCAGAAATCCATCGTGATTTGGCTTTAGATCTAGCGAATGTCGTTGTAAAAGACTAGCAAATGTTGTTAATATTCCCTCATTAGGTGATGGAATCCGAAGTCCTGATTGATCTCGAAGTACAGGAATCGGCGGCAGAAGTCGTCCAAAGATTAATACTTTCTTCAAGTCGCTTCGAAGAGGTTGGCAACAGCTAACATTATCACATTTAATAATCTGCAAAAAGTCAATATTCTGCGTAAAAAATGATCTATTTTTTAATGTATGCATCTATATATATTTATACATTACATACATGCAGGTAATATTTACCTGTAGAAAGTATTGACTTTCAAAAACATGTTTACAATACCATGTTGGACTTGGAACTTCAGGTGATTCTAAATTTTCATTTAATGATGGAGAAATATATTCAGCAAACACTTCAAATCCATCTATTTTTGTGTTACTCCATATATCGCTCAAGATATTCCCAGCATGTTCAAAATTTTCTAGCTCGAGCTGAGAATCGATGGTTTCACCATTATCTCCCAAATGCTTTCCGAACTTGTCATGAGGCAAAATCACACCTGTTAGTTCTCTGCTTAAGGGCGCCATTCGCCGCTCAACTCTGTTGAAAGCGCTCCGGTTTGGCGCATTTGTGAAAATAAAAATACCATCCAAATCAAATTCCTTAAAATGATTGATTGCATGTGCTATCACTTTTTCATATCTACAAATATTTTGTAACAATTTAATAATTTAGAATTTAGAATAATAATAATAAATATAATAATTGTTAATACATAAACGTACCTTGGATTTTCATCCGGCCCACCATCTACTGATAATATTAGTACCGGTTTAATAGATCCATTACTATTCCGCATTATCGTATTGAAACTTTCGAGTTCTAATAATCTTTTCAGATCAAACGCATGGGTAGAGGCAGTTGATGAGTTGTGCTTTGCACTCCTTATTGCTATGTAAGTTGGTCCCGAGTAAGAGACGTTAGTTTTTTTTCCTATTGGCCCATCTTTAATGACAATCCCGGCGTAGACTGAAGGAATAAGTTTATGTCCACCTGCGACTACCCAATCGTGATCTGGGAGTTGTACTCTATATTCGAGGTGCATAATTATGGGAGCTTGCAATTTTGCTGCAGTTTTCCCCAGAGGTACACGAGCCTTGTCGTCTTGGGATAGAAAAGCAACCTAAATTTATTTTAAATTATTTTTATTATTTTATAAAAATTAAAAGACTTTAAATTAATTCAAAGTTATTTATTTAAATTAAATCTTAAATTAAGTTTAAAAATCTTACCTCTTCAGGACTGAGCGTTGAAGCTAATGTTTCAATACAATTTATTGTGGCCTTGCAAAAATGTTGATCTACATGGCTTTTATGTAGATCAGTTTGTGGACGGGAAAGCTTAACCGGCACAGTTTGAATATGCTTTTTTCCTTCATTCGTAGCTGAATTTCTCGGCAATAAACGCAAATAAGTTGCACTTCTAGATATTGTTATTCCCTTTTCAAGAAGATGAGCCTGCAATTGACTAAGTGTTTTGCACGTTCTTATTGTTTCTGATCGACGACGAGAATCCGCAGAGCCACCATGTAACGCAATTTGCGTTATTGCATTTAAAAGTTCAGGTTGCTCTGTTTCTAGTCTGGGTCGTCCAGGTTCATCTCGAATTCCTAATAATTTTGCAATATTTTTATCATTCTTCTGAAGTTTATCAAGATTTTTTTTCGTGTTTGTCTGAATTCTTTTTGTCTATCAGCGTTTCGTTTTAATTTATCCAATGTTTTATTTTCACATTCCAAAGTTTCACGTAACCTTTTTATTCTTTGATCTGTTAAATTATCTCCAAGACCTGCATCTCGTCTAGTTACGGCAGAATTAAGTTCTGATTCTAGTACATGGATTTTTGAAATTTGAGCAGTTTGAGCTGGAGTGTCACGCTTGGGAGTAAGTGCAATAACTGCATGTTCTAAATCTTCTTCATCATTTGTAATGTCCAATACATCTATTTTTCTTTTTTTACCTTTTTTAAATAAATTTGAAAATAAAATTTAAATAGATTTTAATCATTTTTGGTAATTAGTGTTAATAGAATTATTAAATAGTATTTTAACATAAAGAATTTTTGCAAACTGTCAGAAATATTATATTTTCAACTAAGTTTCAAAATCTATTTATTTATAATGTTCAACAATAATTTAAAAGCTTAATTTTTAATTATTTTTAATATTTAACGTTTAAAAAATTATATTACAAAAAGGTTCCTAAAGTTGGAATTATTAACTATTTTTTTATTTTTAATGATAAAATTTTAACTATTTTCACTTCTTTTACTTTTTAGGAAGTAAAAAATTATTTAAGAGAATTTTTTAACCTTAAATCTTGGGAAAAATCGATGGTAACTTTAGGAATCTTTACAAGAAAATAATATTACAAGGCAATTTAAATTGGATACCAAAGCAATAAACAAAGAAATCGTTATTCTTACTTGTCGACAAGTGTGATGCTTCGCTAATTTCTTCATCGTATAATTTACCGTTTTCACGTGAAATAGATTTTAAATGATCTGAAGATTCTGTTAAAATTGGTGACAAGCTTGATACGGTAAGGGACTCTACATTCGATGCCGATGAACTTGGTTGACTTTGATTTGCTAACGCTGAAAATTTAGATGTTTGCTACAACAAATATTCGAATAATAGTTAAATGCATATAAATAGTCAACGATTAATAATTCAGCTTGCATATTATATTTTAAAACAAAAATAATTTATTCTATTTAAACTATTAAAAGTTTCAAATCATTGACCGACACATTTTTATTGACAGTTTATAGGTTATGTTCGTAATGTATAAAAAAAACTTACCGTAGTAAAAAACTTTAAGATATTATTACATTTGTTCTTCTGTGACAAATTTAAATAATCTGATATTAATTCTTCGGCTTTTTTGACCAAATCGTCTTGTAACTTATATTTGTCTTTTAGGTCTTTCCAAATAATAACGACTTCTTCCTGTGCTTTACCAGCAGACTTGGTTGAATGCGATTTCTTATAAGCATCAAATAATCGCTGATAGATATTACCAATATCAGGTTTCATTTTGTAATTAAAGAAAAAATATGACACTAGTTTTTTAAATCATCACTAATCACTAACAAAACTAAAGAAGTACAAAATCATGACAGATGCGAACAGATGATTTTAAAACAGCTAAAATAGTATCGATATAATCGATTCCCAAGAATCGATTCGCGAAATGATTCGATTTTTACTTATATTGAAGTGGCGGCAAGGGACAGCTTTTCAAAAATTTATCGATTATAAAGAGATTAAATACCTTATAAATATTACGTAACAATGATGATTGACCCCCCCCCCTCCCATGTAACATATGATAACATTTTCTCGAACCCCCCCTCCCCCCTAAACGTGTTACGTAATTTATGGACGGCCCCTTACTATGATTTATTATTTTATATTTTAGTTCTTTGTTTTATATTCTTAATATTTTAGGCTACGATACTATTTTGTTATTTTACATTTATTTTATTCTTATTTCATTTTACTTTGTTAATTTTGTTATAAACCTTTTATTCTTTATTTTGTTAGAATATATTTATCTTACGAAGGTTTAATTAATGTCTCATTATTGACTACACCTCTCCTCGAAATTACAGCAAATTGATACATAGATGGCGCTTCACGCCAATCTCTATGGATAATTATTTATTTAATTAAGATTTAAGGGAACCCGGACTTCATCCGGCGAGCGAATTCCCAGCAAATAAAAACCCTATCATTACAATCTGTATGATCCAATCACAGTTTTTAAAGCTTTTTTGAATTTGAAATGTTTCCCGCCTACCCGCCATGCGTTCTCTATGGCGTCTACGCACTTCCGTAACCTCATTGTATTTTACTGTGCGATCCACAGCAGTTGTAAAATTTTCTTTTTGACAAAATTCTTATTTAAAATTTGTGCTTTTAAATCAAATAATGTCCATTAGAAGTTCAGATACAGGTGAGACATCGTCTCACAAAAGGAAAAGTGAAAATATTGCAGATTCGCCGAGAGAAAAGAAAATAAAAACAAGTGAGGTTAGGTCAAAACGTGGTCGTTGTTCTAGTAGTGAATCGAGTGAATATTCTTATTCTTCGTATCAAAAACATAATAATAAAAAGTTTTGTGAAATGAATCGGTATGAGCGCAATGATCGCTCTCGACGCTCACGTTCTCGAGAAAGATCTTATGAGCACAAAGACGGCTCTCGACGTTCACATTCTCGTGAAAGATCTCATGAGCGCAAAGATCGCTCTCGACGTTCACATTCTCGTGAAAGATCTCATGAGCGCAAAGATCGCTCTCGACGTTCACATTCTCGTGAAAGATCTCATGAGCGCAAAGATCGCTCTCGACGCTCTCGTTCTCGTGAAAAGTCTCATGAGCGCAAAGATCGCTCTCATAACTCACATTCTCGTGAAAAGTCTCATGAGCGCAAAGATCGCTCTCTTACATGCTCGTGAGAAGTCCCAGGAGCGTAAAGTTCGCTATCGTCGTTCACGTTCTCGTGAACAGCGTCATAAGCGCAAAGATCGCTCTAGACGTTCAAGATCACCAAAAAGAACGGATGATCATAACAGACGGGACACATTTATTTCAGAGACAGAGCACAACTCTTTCAGTGATACATCTCGGTATCATGTTACAGACAGAGAATATGAATCATCTGATACAGAGAAAAATATTTCTTTTAAGTCCATCGACAATATGAAAGATTTTATGGAAGGCGATGTACAGTTAAGTGAAAAAACACTCCACATTTTAGGAGATAATTCGAAAGGCGGTAATCCTGATCATGCTAAAGTGCATAACGTTCTGCTGACAAAATGGACGGATATTCTACAAAATGGTTTAATAAAAGAAACCTTAGATGAAGTATTAAAAAAGCTTCCTTTCCCGAAGGAATTCGAAGCCATTGCTGCTCCGTTGGTAGACCCTGAATTTAAATACTCACTCGGTGAATCAGGTCTTAAAAAAGATAATTTCCAAATTATCTCTCAAAATAAAATAGGTGCAGCAATGTATGCTATTGCTCTCGCCTTGACCATTATTTTTAATGACGGTTGCAAAGTTGACCTAAAAATTACTCAGTATTTAAGCGATGCAGGTCGAATTCTTGGTGACGTGCATTATAATGTGTCAATAATGAGAAGAGCATTTATTTTACCAAAAGTTAATCAAACTGTCAAAGAAATTAGTGATGGCTTGCCAATTAGTAAATTCCTGTTCGGAGAAGAGTTGATTTCAAGAATGAAGGCAGCTAAAGCGGTCGAGAAATCCAGTAAAGATCTAATGAGACCATCAACATCTGGTGTCAAATTTAAAAGATCTAACCAAAGAAGTCAGCCAAAGAAGACACATACTCCAAACTACAAAAGGACTCCGACAAACTGGAGAGGCTCGAACAGAGGTGGCTACAAGAGCCGGAACAGGGGCAACCTGGACGGGCCGAAGAAAACGAACCGCCCATATCGTCGTCAGTATTAGAGGTAAGCAAAACATCAGGGCGTATAAGGTATTTTGAAAATTCATGGGTAAAATTAACTCAAGATTCAATTATCCTCCAATATGTTACAGGTTATAAAATACCTTTTTCAAGAGATGTATTCCAAAAATTCAAGCCGAGTATTCCTTCAATGACCGAGTTAGAAATTCGAGAATATTCTCTAGCTATAGATAAGCTCGTTAAAAAAGGAAGTATTAGAAAATGTCAACCGTGTAAGAAACAATTTTTATCGTCTTATTTCTTAGTTGACAAACCTAACGGTGAAAAAAGGTTTATTTTAAATTTAAAAAAGTTGAATGAGTTTATAGAACCACCGCATTTCAAATTGGAGGATCATAAAACAGTCATTCGAATATTAACTCCAAACTGTTTTATGGCGTCGTTAGATCTAAAAGACGCATTCATGTTAATACCAGTCGCGGAAGAATTTAAAAAATATTTGCGTTTTGAGTTTTGGGAACCCTCTATGAATTCAATTGTCTCCCTTTTGGACTTTGTACAGATCCTTTCGTGTTTACCAAGTTGTTAAAACCTGTAGCCCAAGTATTGAGAAGTGAAGGTTTAAAATCAGTAATTTACTTAGACGATGTTCTTTTAATAGGAAAAACTAAAGAAATTTGCCATGCAAACATAATACGAACAAAGGAATTACTTGTCTCATTAGGTTTTATCGTAAACGTCGAAAAATCATCACTAAACCCATCTCAAAAATGTAAATTTCTTGGTTTTATGTATGATAGTCGTGAATTTAACGTCAAATTGCCACAAGAAAAAAGAGAAAAGATTTTAAAATTAACAAATAAATTTTATATTAAAGAAGCTTGCAAAATTCGAGATTTCGCCCAATGTATCGGTGTACTCGTTTCAGCTTGCCCGGCAGTCAATTATGGTTGGCTATATACAAAAAATATGGAAAGACAAAAATTTTTAGCATTAAAGAAAAGTGATAATAATTTCGATGTCGGAATGAAGTTATCACAGGAAGTAAAATTAGAACTAGATTGGTGGAAAAGAAATGTCATCATATCAAAAAATCCTATTCGAGATTCAAGTTTTCATTCCGAGATATTTTCAGATGCTTCCTTAACAGGCTGGGGCGCGTATTGTCAGGGTGAAAAGACTCATGGCTGGTGGAATTTAGACGAGCGAAACGAAAATATAAATATGTTAGAACTGCGAGCAGCGTTTAATGCTTTAAAGTGTTTCGCTTCAAATTATCAGTCTTGCCAAGTTCTTTTACGAATTGACAACACAACAGCGATTTCTTATATCAATCGCATGAGCGGTTTACAGTTCCCAAATTTGTCTGAAATCGCCAAAGAAATCTGGCAATGGTGCGAAAAGAAAAATTTGTGGATATTCGCATCCTATATTAAGTCTAAAGACAATTTCATTGCAGATAAAGAGTCGCGCATTCTACCACCTGAGACTGAATGGGAGTTGAACAATAAATATTTTCAATTAATTGTTGAAAAATACGGAAGTTTTGACATTGACCTTTTCGCGACCAGCGTTAATAATAAATGCGATAAATTCGTTACTTGGTTCAAAGATCCAAATTCCATAGCTATTGACGCCTTTACAATTTCGTGGACAAAACATTACTTTTATGCGTTTCCTCCCTTTTCTATTATTCTAAATATATATATAAATATATATAAATATATATATATATATATGTATTAAACAAATTCATAAACGATAAAGCGGAGGGAATACTCATTATCCCCTTATGGCCTACTCAGGCCTGGTACCCTTTATTTTTAGAACTCTTGATAGAGGAACCATATTACCTTTCTCCTAAAAAAGACTTACTTATTTCTCCTTTCAGGAAGATCCATCCCCTAGCAGAGAGCCTTACCCTGGTGGCAGGGAGGTTATCGGGAAAGCATTTCGAAGAAGAGGGGTTCCGGAGAGCGCGATTCCATTAATGGTAAAATCGTTGTCAGTTGGGACACTAAAACAGTACGACAAACCACTTTGACTATGGTGGGACTTTTGTTTAAGAAAGAAGATTCAAATATTCGATGCCAAAGCTACGGAAATTATAATGTTTTTAACTGAAATTTTAGACAACATTAACACTTATGGCACCTTAAACTCGTTCCGATCAGCAATTTCTTTAATAACAATGTCAGAAGTTGGCTCCGATCCGTTAATGAAGAGATTTTTTAAAGGTATTTCGATCGAAAAGCCGCAAGCACCTCGCTAAGACATCACATGGGACCCTCAAATAGTTGTCACCTATATAAAAACATTAGATGAAAATTCAAAATTATCTTTGAAACTTTTGTCCTACAAGCTCGTAGTCTTATTAGCATTAACTACTTCACAAAGGGTGCAGACTCTGTCAAAAATTTCAATACAGAATATTATAATTTCAGACGAAATAATCCAGATCAAAATTCCAGGTAGAATAAAAACCTCAGGAGTCAATAAATCGCAGCCGTGCTTAAAACTTCCATTTTTTCAAGAGGAACCAGAAGTGTGTGTCGCTTCGACATTATCAGAATATATTAAACGGACTGAACCAATTAGAGGAGATGTTGAGGAACTTTTCATTACTTTTAAAAAACCCAATAAAGCAGCTTCGAGTCCAACACTCTCACGATGGATCAAGTGCATATTAACAGAAAGTAGAATTGGTACCTCTTTCTTTAAAGCCCATAGCACACGACATGCATCTAGTTCGGCAGCTAAACGACAAGGAGTTAGTGTGGACATTATCTTTCAGACAGCAGATTGGACAAAAAAGTCACTTGCTTTTACAAAGTTCTACGATAGGCCACTTCTTAATGAAGACACCTTCGCAAAGGCCGTAATTTTAAATAATAATATAACTCATAAATCAGATTAATAATCATTATATAGTTTGTAATACAAAATTGAAAATTGTAAGAAAATTAGTCAAGTCGTAATTATATGAGTCGTCTCGTTCGAATAGATCATTCCCTCCCTACCCAGTAAAATTATTTAAATAAATTTGTACCCTATTTCGCTATTTGGGAGCTTTAAAATAATGAGGTTCCGGAAGTGCGTAGACGCCATAGAGGACGCATGGCGGGTAGGCGGGAAATATATCAAATTCAAAAAAGCTTTAAAAACTGTGATTGGATCATACAGATAGAGTATGGGGCGCATGATTATTCCTCAAATTTCAATTTCCTAATGTTCAAAACATCGAAATTCTTATCATTGAAACATCATTTCGCATAATTTTCAGTTTTCGAAATTTCATTCAACATAATTTTTAATTTATCGATTTATTCTTTATCCTATTATTTAAATAGTCGAATTGTTTTTTAATATAATTTTTAATATGTCGAAAATTTTTTTGACATACATTTTGTTTTTCCTAATGACTATTTGTCATAATTATTAATCCTCCGAATTGCCATTTGACATAAATTACATAGGCCAACAAAATTTGATTCAATTTACTTTCCAAGAATCAGACAATACTTTTCCGAAGAATTTCGACGTGCTGAATCCGAATCTGCCCTCAAAATAGACCCATCACGTCAGGTTTTCGAGATATTTTAACCTAAAAGTGCAAAAAACCTGTTTTTAGTTATATTTGATGTCATGTAACATGAAGAGATAATTTTTTATTTAAAAAGTCAATATTGCATCTAAAAGTGCTACTCTTCCCCTTTAATATCCATTTTGAAAATTTAAAAAATCTTCATTTGTCTCTGAGTTGAATCTCTGAGTTGTTCGTTGAATTTTTTGAGTTTGTCGAATTCTTCGAAAACTGAGTAGAAACAGACAAAACTTCGATAATAAAGCAGATTTTAACTAAAAACATCTAAATTTTAAATAGTTCTGAGGATTTTTGATATAACTGAATACGAATTCGATATCAGATTGACAGAATTGAAAATGGCATATTTTAGGCAAATACAATCAATTTTAAGTCAATCATCTGCCATATTGTATACGCCATTTTCAATTCTGTCAATCTGATATCGAATTCGTATTCAGTTATATAAAACATCCTCAGAACTATTTAAAATTTAGATGTTTGTAGTTAAAATCTGCTTTATTATCGAAGTTTTGTCTGTTTCTACTCAGTTTTCGAAGAATTCGACAAACTCAAAAAATTCAACGAACGATTACTCAAAGACAAATGAAGATTCTTTAAATTTTCAAAATGGATATTAAAGGGGAAGAGTAGCACTTTTAGACGCAATATTGACTTTTTAAATAAAAAATTATCTCTTGATGTTACATGACATCAAATATGACTAAAAACAGGTTTTTTGCACTTTTAGGTTAAAATATCTCGAAAACCTGACGTGATGGGTCTATTTTGAGGGCAGATTCGGATTCAGCACGTCGAAATCCTTCGGAAAAGTATTATCTGATTCTTGGAAAGTAAAGATTTACTTTCTTGTCGGCCTGTGTTATTTATTTATTTTCAAACCTTCGAAATATTATATTACATAACTTTCATTTATCGAAATTTTATTTGTCATAATGTTCATTTACTCGAATTATCAAGTGACATAAAGCGCATTTACTCGAATTCTCATGTGACATAACCTTCAAATCTTCGAAATGTCATATTTAAGAAATTTCATTTATCGAAATTTTATTTGTCATAATGTTCATTACTCGAATTATCAAGTGACATAAAACGCATTTACTCGAATTCTCATGACACATAATCTTTAAATCTACGAAATGTCATATTTTAGAAATTTTACTTTATAGAAATTTTATTTGTCATAATTTTCATTTATTCGAATAACCATTTAACATAACATTTATTTGTTTGAAATTCCATTTGACATAATTTTCAAACATCCGAATTACTTTTTAACCTATAATGCAAGTCACAGAAATTTCATTTGTCCCAAAAATAACAATGGAATTTTCAAATATTTTTCTCATTTCTATTGTTATTTTAGAACAAATTAAATTTCTGTGACTTGCATTATAGGTTAAAAAGTAATTCGGATGTTTGAAAAGTATGTCAAATGGTTATTCGAATAAATTAAAATTATGACAAATAAAATTTCTATAAATTAAAATTTCTGAAATATGACATTTCGTAGATTTAAAGGTTATGTCTCATGAGAATTCGAGTAAATGCGTTTTATGTCACTTGATAATTCGAGTAATGAACATTATGACAAATACAATTTCGATAAATGAAATTTCTTAAATATGACATTTCAAAGATTTGAAGGTTATGTCACATGAGAATTCGAGTAAATGCGCTTTATGTCACTTGATAATTCGAGTAAATGAACATTATGACCAATAAAATTTCGATAAATGAAAGTTATGTAATATAATATTTCGAAGGTTTGAAAATTAAATCAAATGGCAATTCGGAGGATTAATAATTATGAAAAATAGTCATTCGGAAAAACAAAACGCAGTGTCTATTTCGCCCGTTTACGGGCGAAATAAGAAGAATGAATTATTTCGCCCGTCATGAAATCTAAGTAAGTGGGGGAAACGGGCGAAATAGTAGTGGTAAATTATTTCGCCCGTTTATGGTTTTCTAATTAATATTTCTGACAAAAAAGGTTAACTTGTCACTTGCTTCTGTATATATGACGTATATATGAGAAAAGTGAATATAGGTTAGTTTCGTCGCGCAGTTGCGCACGCGCCATTTCAAATTCAAATAATTATGTATGTTTACTTGTTTGTTTATATCATTAACAACCAAATTATGTTTGATAAATAAAAAAAACTATAGTGAGAACAATGCAAAAAATAATTTCCATTTTTAAGTGGCAGATAATAAGCCGAACCCCCCATTTGAAGGCTCTTTGATACTTATTCGGTCTCTGTCTTACTTTACTTGATATAAGAGTTCAAGGTTTTTTTTGTATATTTTTATACAGAATTAATAAACAAAATATTTTTGATTAAAAAATAAAAATTGTAGTGAGATTAATGCAAAAAATAATTTTCAATTTTTAATTGTAGGTAATAAGCTGAACACCCTCAAAGGCTCTTTGATACTTATTCGGTCTCTCATTTTAGGAAGGATTTAATTAAAAAGTTATATATTTTTATAGTAGTTCACTATTCTTTTTTTATCAATAGTTTTTGTGAACTTAATAAAAAACTCTGAATGTTAACATTAAATAGTTTTAAATCATTTTGCATTTTTTGCAAAACCAGTTTTTAGATCTGGGAAGCTTTTTTAAATTAACACAAATTGGATGGAACCAATCCAAACAGCTATCGCATCTTATCGATCCTTCATTATTTTCTTTTCTTTTTAATAGCATTTCACTGATGTTTTGAGTATAATAAATACTTCTTCAAAGAACTGTATGTATTCCCAAAATTTGGGAGTAGAGAATTCTGCTAATAAAGAACCTATTCCCAAGAGTTCTTCTTTTCCAATTTTTAGTTTACGCCCGTGAGTTAAAGTATGGTTTCTATTTGATGTCGACTTTTGTGCTGTAATGTTAACAGATGGTTCTGGCTGATCTTTCGGATCTTCGAAAGCACGTTCGTGATCCATGTAGTACTTCTGTGTCCAACGTTCCAAGCATAGACTTGCATCCATCAAGGAGTAATCCAAATGCTCTCGAACAGCAAAAATGTGCCTGAAAATATATAAATTACCTACTTTAAAACAAACTGACAAAAAAAGTTTTTAATTTAATTGAAAGAATTGCATAACAGGGTTGCTACAAAAATTTAATTTTATATTTGCCTGATTTCCAGACAAAATTTTGTCTTTTCCCCTGACCCTAAAAAATATTTTGGTTCATTCTAAAAATTATTAGATACTCAAAAAAATGTTCTATTATATTTATTTACAAATTTATCTAATTGTAAAATTATTTAGAAAAAAACAACAAATTCTTTTTTAAATAAATATTTAATCATTATTTTTCGATAGGAATTAAGATTTTCCAAAATATCTAATTCAAACCTTTTGAAATTCAATAAGTTATAAGAATACTATTTTCAAATTCGTTTGTTTACAATTCAATTTAACACGAAATTTTGTCTATTCAAAAATTCTTTAATTAATTATATATTCAAAAATAAAAGCATTAAATAATTTTTTTTTAAATTCAGTTAAACTTTTTGAAAAAAATTAATTCTACAGAATTGTTAGTTAAAAGTATGAAAAATTCATATTTTCTAAGATTTTGATTTTAAACCTTTTGAAAATTAAATTATTTCTAAAAAATTACGCTGCAATGCTTTTAATGTTCAATTAGTATCTAAAATTTTAACTGAAATCCATTTTTAATCAATATTTATTAGAAAATTCTATACGAGAATTCAATTATCTATTTATTTTCCAATCAATTAAATACAAAAATAAATAATTTATTGAATAATTGAAGGTTTCTCAAAATTGAATTCTTATATAGAATTTTATCAATAAATTTTTAAATCATTAAATTTTTTCGATAAATTGTACTAAATTTTTTAAGAATAACTAAATTTTTTCGAGGAATTTTATTAAAATTGTAGTAAAAAAAATTGAAATTTTTTTTTAGTTTTATTATTTATAAAAATAATTGAATACCTAAATCAAATTTTATTATTTACGAAAATAAATAAATCTTTGTAAAAAAAATTGCATAGTTTAATGAAATAATGGAATTATTAAGAAGAAATTTTTTAATAAATTGGAAAATAATTGAATACATATGATATTTTTATTATCTATGAAAATAATTAAATATTTCCGTAGAATTTTATCAAAATTTATTTTAAATAATTGAATTCTTTTGGAAAATTTTATTAAAATAGTAGATATTGAAAAATCATTAAATTGAGAAAAAAATTTTAAAATAATCGAAATTTTGCCAAAAAAAATCCAATTTTTAAAAATCTAAGTTCTTTAAAATTTCTAATTAAATTCATTAAAAATTGAAGATTTATAAAATTTTAAATTAATACCTTTTAAAGTTTATCTATTTGTGAATGAAGTTATTTTATTAGAAATTATTGTCAGCAATAGGAAAAATTGAAGGTTTTTTGTTAATTTTATAGTTTATGAGGCAAACAAAAAACACAAAAATTTAGAATTTTTTATGAATTATAAAAATGTAATTTTCCCAGTGCTTTTAATAAAAATTCCTGACTTTTTCCTGACCAATTCTACTTTCCCTGATTTTTCCCTGAATTTTCCTGACCTGTAGCAACCCTGAATAAGCAATAACAAAAATCTTTTAAAATTAAATAATGAAAAAAATTATATAATTTGTTACACACCTACAAGGTAATCCCATTAACAGATTTTCATTGCAATCACATTTATTGTGAGTAACATTTCGAATTCGCGTACTGCCATCACGTTGCACAGATAATGTACCAGTGTTTGATGATAATCCAGTAATCTTATAGACAAATCTCTTGTCCAACTCCTTACGCACAAATTGAAATCCATAACTAATTAGAATTCTGTTATAAAAGTGTTCTGGACTACCTTCTCCAAAGGGTAAAGCTTTTGTTTTCAAATACGAGTAAGCAGCTACTACGTCATGCTCACTATTCCTCGTTGAAATGAGAATAAAAAAGTCTATTATAAATTGCTCCAAAGTAGCAAACTTTGTAGTAATAGACTTAATTTTCCCATTCAGGGACTCTAAACGGTTGTTGGTAGTATTCATGAATGACATTTTCATTAAGTTACTACTTAGAGTTCTTGTCAAAATAAGTAATAACTGCTTTTGGCGTCTCGGTTTTTAAACGGTTATAAAGAGAAAAATATTCCTTATCATTATTTGAATATAACATTTTTTGAATGATGGCTTTCGCTGTGTCTCTTTGGCCTTTAGTTATTTCCAACTTCTCTGCAAAAAGTACGCTCAGTATGGAAGATACATATAAGAACTTTCGCATTCGGGAAACTTTGTTTAAAAATTTCTCTTTCCGAAATATCTTTATCTGCCATTATAGTCTTAACTTTTTCCCATGAAGGATTTTTTTAAAATGTATCCACGAACCATCTTATATTATCGTGAGTTTCATGCATTAAAATGCATCCTACCACGATTTGCGTCTGGCCCTGAGAATCTTCAACCACAATCAGATAAAGAGGTGCTCTTAAATCAAGCAACTTATATGTTGCATCCACACCTATGAACTTGGGATAAGCAGCCATATATTTTTTCATATCGTTAGTGATGAACATAATTCCTTCGAATATATCACCCTCTTTAATTAAAAGTTCACAATCGGCACCTGAAATGTGTATGATAGACTGTAATTACATTGTAAAAAATATTTGTTTCTAAATTTTTTTTAAATCATAGTATAAAAAAACTTATAAAACTAAATCAAATTAAGTTTACCATAGTCATTTTGGAGCGTGGAAATTGCTTTCATTAAGTCATTTCCATCCTACGTTCGAGGTATTAAATTGCACAAATCTTTAGACAGAACTTTTTTTCGTGTTAAAGTTTGCAATTGCTGTTTAACTTTTTTTTATTGGCGTTTAACTTTAGTTCTTGGATAGCCAATTCTTTTTCCTCGCTATTTAGCCTTCTATTTTCGGGTAAGCAGTCATATAAAGCCTGTAAGGAATAAATTTTTAATAATTTAAAAAAAATGTGAATAATTGAATGTTTCATAAAATTGGATTTCTAAAAGTTATTGAAAAAATGAATCTTTTTATATAAATATATTTTCAATAACTACTTAATTTTTCAAATAGTTTTTAAATATTCATGAAAAATTATTCATTTAGTGTTGTAACAAAAATTGTGTATTTCCCTGATTTCTAAATTAAATTAATCAAAACTTTAATCATTTTCCTAAATAAATATTTAAATACTTCTTATTTCTTTTTTCGCAGGAAATAAAATTTAAAAAATTTCAACTTCTGAATAATAATAATAATAATAATAATTAATAAATTAATTAATAAAAAATTATTAATTATTATTATTAATTATTTATTAATTAATTAAATTAATTTTTTTAATTTAAATAATTTAATAATTTCTAAACATTTAAACTATAATCCTTCGAAAAATTCAATTATTTAATTTCTACATTTTTAAACTAAACTTCATCTCTAAATCAATTATTTATATTAATTTTTAATAATTTTCCGAAAGTTCTTCGAGAATTCAATATTATTTAAATACAAAAATTCAATTTTTTATAATAATAGAAACCCTCCATTTTTCTTTTTAAAGATATTATGGTAGAATATTTTCAAAAAATTTAATAAATAAATTCGTAAAATTAACTTTTTAAAAATATTTCTAAATCATTTTTGAAAAATGTGTTACGATCCTAATTATTATAGTTTCCCTAATGTTTCCCGATTTTATTTTAAAATTAATTAAAATAGGGAGGGGAGTAGTAAATAACAAGAAATTACTTTAGTTGAACAAATATATGTGTATTTTATGAAATAAGATAAAATCGATGAAAATAAGAGATGGACATAGGCTTTCTAATGTGAGTCTTAGAGTGGTTTGATTGTTTACCTTGGGACAAAGGGTGATGCTAGTCGCTCAGGTATAATGGCACTAGTCCGTTAATGGTTGACTAATTGTAAGTGGATGCAGTATTGTGTCTCGAGAAACAGGAACACTCCTTTCAAATGGCAAATTTGACTTCCAGATTGACTTTCCAAAATGCACTTTTGAAATTACGTAGAGTAAAGGACAACTACTGAAACTGAGTTTAGAGCACTGCGTCGTAGAGAACCACTTGTTATAGATAAAATTTTAAGACTGGACTTGTACGGAGCACCACTTCTCAATTTGAGACTTATAATTTTGACGACTACATTTTCTTGACTGACTTCTTAGACTGAAGTGCTGTTGATGGTCTGGCTCTTCTTATACCCAAATTTGGCTGCGTATTTTATAAATTGTACGTGTTTCCATGTATTTTACGAATCGTCCACGTTTTCATGTATTTTACAAATTGTACGAGTTTCCATGCATTTCAGAATCTCCTTTGTTACTGGAACACTTGTGGTGACTCACTATTAGATCGCACGTGTACATTCCCTTATTACTTATGTTATTTTATAATTTTGTTATTAATTGTTTATAATTTGTTACAATTTGTTAATTATAATTGTTTAAATTTGTTATTTATTATTACAATTTTGTTGTTGTTGATATTTATTATTACAATTCTATTATTTAATATCTATTATTACAATTTATTATTGTTTATTATTATTTCTTAAAGTTTGTTGTTAAGATTGTTATATTTAACTATTTATTACATTTTGTTATTATTTGTTAATATTTACAATTTATTATTGATTACTATTAATATTTATATTTATTATTTATAATAATATGTAAATAACAATTTTGATATTAACTTTTATTATGATTATTACTATTATTATTAATTATTATTAATATTATTAATTAACATGATTATTATTATTAATTATTAAGATTAATTATTATTCTACATATTATTATTGGAAATAGGTTACGGTGACGTAACAAATGTCTAAAAAATTGAAATTTTATAAAATCTTTTTTAAAAAATAATTGAGTTTGAAAAATTTTTTTTTAAGAATTTTAATTACATATTAATAATTTCTCAAAAATTCTGAAATAAGAAATTTTTAAAAATTTTAATTTAATTTTTCGAAAATAATTGAAATATTTTTATATAATTTAAAAAAAATAATTTTTTAAAGAATTTTAATTAAAAATTTTGAATATGATTATTTTCTCCAAAATGTTAAAAATAATTCTAAAAAATTTTAATATTATTATTTTGTGAACCTATATGTGACCGGGACTGAGAAAAGGGACCTACTTACCAAAAAATCGATTTTTTTTATGATGGTTTCTTATAGTTTAAGGTCCTAGAAATACAATGCAATCAGTCCAGATTGTTAAAAAAAATTTTTTGCAATTGTTTAAACAAATTTAAAAAAAAAATTTTTTTAATTTTTTTTATGAAAATATAAATAATTTTAAGACAAAAAATACTCTTGGTTGTCTAAGTGTCAAGAATATATTCCCTAAATCTTAAATTGAATGCCTAAACCATTTACAAAAAATTCGACTTAATTCCTCGAAGATGATCGCCAAGTATACACCGTCATCGGCAACCTGGTTGTGCAAGTCAAAAAATAACTATGGATTATTGTAGACTTCAGAAATATTCATTATTGTATCAGTTCTGAACTTGCATAAAAAATTTCAGACCTCTAGGACATCCGGAAGTCTTTTAAATTAATTTTGAAAATTCCATAATTTGACTTTTGCAAAATAAATTGTTTATAACAATTACAGGGTTGTTTGAACAATTATTTAACCATGAAAATCGGATTCAGCATAAAAAAATACATAAAGAACACTCATCATGTTAATTTAAAATGTAAAATGTTTCAAGAAACCTAATTTATTTGGATAGAAAACTTTAAACGCGTTTTTCTCGAAAAGTTGATTTTGGTAAGTAGGTCCCTTTTCTCAGTCCCGGTCACATATATATTTGAATTTTCGGAAATATTAAAAATATTTAATATCGAAAATATTGAAAATTGAATTTAAAAAATTAGAACGAAATAATTCAGAGAATTACTTGTTTCAAAACTATTTTTACATTATTTTTAGAACCTAATTTTCATTAATTTTTATTTTTATTCAATTTATACTTCAAGATTATTCATTTTCCAATTTTGCAATTAACTAAGCTGAATAATATACCTCGAATTTTGCAATTAACAAACATGAATCTCACAATAATACTGATCTTGTTAAATTTTAAAATTTGGAAAAAGCATGTTTCTAATAAGTCTTTTGTGCAAGGCATTAATCAACATTTATAATTATTTGTTTAAATATGTGTTAAATTGCTATATTCATAAAACATCATTATGTAGTAAAAGAAGAATTATGTAGCTTAAGAAGACTAAAAAATGCACATTATTACATATAACAGAGACGTAGTTTATGAAAGACTCGTAAAATACCAATATATGTATAATAAATCTAAAAATATTCTAAATCTGGCGGCCATATTGGCTCTGATCTTCTGTATTTTTAAAATCTGATCTCAGCTTCATAATTAGTGATCTCAAAAACCTCTAGACACCAAGTTTCATTGAAATTTTTTAATAAAATCAAATTTTTTAAAAATTCGTCCGCCATATTGGATCCGCCATTTTGAATTTTTCTAATTTGACCTTAGATTCGTAATCAGCGACCTTAAAAACCTCTAGATACCAAGTATCATTACAATCAAACAATTTTTTCAAAATTCATCCGCCATATTGGATCCGCCATTTTGAATTTTTTGAATCTGACCTCAGATTCGTAATCAGCGACCCCAAAAACCCCTAGGTACCAAATTGTAGATAAATCCAACAGTGTGAAAAATTTGTGCATTTGGAAACAATTTTATGGGTGAAAATAGGTACGCAGGAGGGTTAATTAACTATTAAATAAAAAAAATTCGATTTATTTTTGGTAAATAAAATTTACTATTATCTTTATTAACGGTTTTTCACTCACTTCGATTCTCGCTGTCCAGTTAACTTTGACTTTTGATAACTCCTTCCTCCGTGTTTACACACATATTTAATTGAATGATATTCAATGCCCTCCTTCAAAACTTTGTCTTTAGAAGGCTTTGAACTGTCTCTGCTTTTTCCTTTAACGCAATTTCTTATTTCAAAAGAAGAAAACGTTTCTTCTTCAAACTTTTCTATTTTTTTCTTAATTCAGAAAAACTAGAAAAGGTATCATCAACTTTGAGACATACGGCTTTAAGAAAAAAAAAATTTTTATAAATAAAAACAATTTCTTCAATTTATAGCATTAATATCTTATAATATTATATATTATTTTATCTTTTTAATTTAAAAATTTTTATAAAATATTGTACTCTATTACAATTATTTATTTATTATGAAAATATTAAAATAGTACAGATTTATTAAATTTTCAGTATTTATTATATTAGAAATAATATTAAGTTATTAAATTTAAATATTTTATACAAAATTAAAATTTTAATATTAATTATATTTAAAATTTCATTCAATTCTTTATAATTTTAAGTAATAAATTAATTTCTACTTACCTATTTCCTCGATTTCAGAATTCATTTTTCTTTTTTTTCCACGGTAAAATCACGAATACGTCCGTTTTCAGACAAATCTCAGATAGAAATAATATTAATTTGAATTTTGTTTTACAAAAAGTCAAATAAAGGACAAGGGGTAAATTTCATTCAAACCGCGAAGATTTAAAACATCTTAATTTATAGTTTTTATACAATTTAATTTTATTTCCTTTTTTATGATTTACATTTGTTAAAAAAATTATGTAGTAATCAGCGACCCCAAAAACCCCTAGAAAAAAAATAAAATAAAAGTTGGGTGGGGGAAATCCAATATGGCTGACATCAGCTGATTTACCAGAGGACAAACAATGCATTGAATTCAATGGGACAAATCAGTTTTTTAACCATAACTTTTTAAATATTCATTTTTGAACCATAGTGTAATGGAAAATTATTCTTAGAAAACCCCTACATATACAAAACTGTTATAATACATTCATACATTAAAAGCTAATATGCTTGTTACAATTTATATATTATTTGACTTATTCGTACTTACCTTCTTTAGTAATAGACGACATTTACTATAATATGTTTACAAAAATATTGACAAAAAAAAGGTGTAAACTATTATAAAAATTATTTTTTAATTAAATCACTCTAAAATGATCTACACATAATTATTTGAATTTGAATTTGGCGCGTGCGCAACGTGCGCAACAAGGTAGTTCAAGTTGGGTGGGGGAAATCCAATATGGCTGACATCAGCTGATTTACCGGAGGACAAACAATGCATTGAATTCAATGGGACAAATCAGTTTTTTAACCATAACTTTTTAAATATTCATTTTTGAACCATAGTGTACCCAGTGTGCACGTTCCGTAACAATTCCGGAACCGTTCTGTAACTGTTCTTTATTTCCATTAACTGTTACAGAACAGTTCCAGAACGTGCACACTGGGTAATGGAAAATTATTCTTTATTTATCGAAATCTATTTTTTAACCCTTGTGTTCATACCCGGGTACCCACGACTACAGATTTTTTCATTTTACTCACGTAAATATTAAAATTTTGTCTCGGCGCTTCAGATCTACGTTATTTATGATAAATAAAAGCCATTTCTTCAAAAAAAAATTTTTTGTTTGCTATAAATAAATAAAAAATTAGTTTAAACTATAGGTATGCAGTGTCAGCACTCTGGGTGGCTGAGACAAATTGTTTAAAAATTTATTAGATTAACTTGAAATTTGTTACTCGGGGGTTTTTGGGGTCGCTGATTACGAATCTGAAGTCAGATTTTGAAAATTCAAAATGGCGGATCCAATATGGCGGACGAAAATTTAAAAATGTCATTATATTCACTTGAAATTTGTTACTCGGGGGTTTTTGGGGTCACTGATTACAAATATGATGTCAGTTTTTGAAAATTCAAAATGTCGAATCCAATATTAGTAAACGCCACATTGGATCCGCCATTTTTAATTTTCAAAAACTGACATCATATTCGTAATCAGTGACCCCAAAAACCCCCGAGTAACAAATTTCAAGTGAATCTAATGACATTTTAAAAATGTCGTCCGCCATATTGGATCCGCCATTTTGAATTTTCAAAATCTGACATCATATTCGTAACCAGCGACCCCGAAAACCCCCGAGTAACAAATTTCAAGTGAATCTAATGAATTTTTAAACAATTTGTCTCAGCCACCCAAAGTGCTGACACTGCATACCTATAGTTTAAACTAATTTTTTATTTATTTATAGCAAACAAAAAATATATTTTTGAAGAAATGGCTTTTATTTAACATAAATATCAAAGATCTGGAGCGCTGAGACAAAATACCCCTGGTTTAGCTGGTCAGATTATTTTTTATAAATGTTTTGCTATAGTGGGTACCCGGGTACCCCGGGTGTGAGACAACGTAGAATTTGTTGGGTATGGACACAAGGGTTAAAACAATGAAACCAAAATATTAAATTTTATTGTTTTAAAAA